GCCTTTGTTACTAGAAGCGATGCACTTGTTCCTAATAGCTTCTTGTTGCTAGTAGCTTCTTGTTACTACTAGTAAGGCCTTTGTTACTAGAAGCGATGCACTTGTTCCTAATAGCTTCTTGTTGCTAGTAGCTTCTTGTTACTACTAGTAAGGCCTTTGTTACTAGAAGCGATGCACTTGTTCCTAATAGCTTCTTGTTCCTAGTAGCTTCTTGTTACTACTAGTAAGGCCTTTGTTACTAGAAGCGATGCACTTGTTCCTAATAGCTTCTTGTTCCTAGTAGCTTCTTGTTACTACTAGTAAGGCCTTTGTTACTAGAAGCGATGCACTTGTTCCTAATAGCTTCTTGTTCCTAGTAGCTTCTTGTTACTACTAGTAAGGCACTTGTTACTAGAAGCGATGCACTTGTTCCTAATAGCTTGTTGTTCCTAGTAGCTTCTTGTTACTACTAGTATGGCACTTGTTACTAGAAGCGATGCACTTGTTCCTAGTAGCTTCTTGATACATAAAGCTCTCCAAGCCGTGCTGCCTCATAGTCTGTCTTGACTTTGGCCATCTTAGTCAATATGCAGGCGTCAGTTGTACGAGCCACTGGTACCTCAAAGCTAGCACAATGTTTGGCACTCGTTTGGACAATGGCTGAACCTGGTTCTTTTCTGAAATTGCAAGTCCCTAGAAAAGGAACGGTACAAAGCAGTTAAAAGACACAAATATGAAAAAAAAAGGAGATGCAAAACTTTTAGGGGGCCTTACCTTCCTTTTGCCCAGCCTGTGGTATCAACAGGGAGCCTGAAGCTCCACGCAGCAGTTCCCAGTGAACATTCTCAAAGGACAAGGCCATGCTGTCAAAAGTACCTCCACATAGCTGCATCTTTGACAGCAACAACCGAGGCATCTGTCTACACATTATGCGCCTGTTTTGCCCTCAGCTGTGTCCGCAGCACTGATGATTAAGGCTTCTTTCGCCAAGTTCTCAAGCATTGCCCTGTTCTGCTGGATCAACTGCCACAGGATGGCCCTGGCAGCATCTTTAGAATCTTCAGAACACTTCCCTCTGTTTTTCAGGTTGGGCTCAAACCGGTCCTGTTAAGCCCTGCTGCAGTGGCTGCTGCGACATAGAGGACTCCCACCTGCCACGGTGTTGGTGTTTTGATCTTCAAGCTACTAGCGATGGCCTCCAACCTAATAGCGCACCCTGCCTGTTGAAGGTGAGTATCAAGCAGAGAGCTTTGGCTGATGATCTTATCCACCATAGAACCCGAGAGCGATAGCATGCCTCTTTCCACATCACTCTTGAAGGTCAACCATTCGTCATAGACAGTCTTCATCAGATCCACAAGCCTGGAAAACCCACAAGCTTACACGGAAACACATTGAGAAAAGGCTGACATGGGGGAGGAAAGATCGCACACCGGACGAAAAGAAAGAACGTCTTGCAAACGCAAATCTTCGAGTCCTGGACATAATTTTGTTCCAAGTATGACCCAGTCCGAGTGGCTCTTGAGTGGGTGCCACTGGCACCGACTCCACATAGGAACCTGCGAGGTGAGAACGAACGAAAACAAGAATGTGTTCGTTTTTTTGAGCCGGTGGCCCTGCCTCCTTACTTAATTAACTAGGTGCCTACTTAATTAAATAAGGGAGAGTAAACACGCTACTGGGAGAAGAGTTCGCTCTTAGCTAGGATGCAGGATAGCTCGCACTAATGATTTAGTTCCTAGACTTTTAGGCTTTAGGTAAACTTAACTAAAAAAACAATGAGCTCTACCACTGTCCTGTTCGGACACAATACGTGGCCATTTGGACAGAAAACATTTTACTGAGGCCAGAAAATGACCACCCCAAAGATATGGAACATTATAATGGACATCCCGGATCATCCCGGTAATGTTCTGAAGAAGACACGCAACTCAACGACCCGTGAGACCAGGCCACCATAGGACTTGGAACAACGACGCTACTAGGGGCTCCTGGCTTACTACTAGGAGCAAGGACGATACTAGGGCTCCTGGCCTTACTACTAGGAGCAAGGACGCTACTAGGAGCAAGAACGCTACTAGGGACTCCTGGCCTTGCTACTAGAAGCAAGGACGCTACTAGGGGCTCCTGGCCTTGCTACTAGGAGCAAGG